AGAGGTACGCATCAAATAGATTTCTGTAATCTCGTTTATCCTCCCTTATCTCTGTGTTTGTCCTTTTCACAAGACAAGGCAATCTGAACCAATCAACTACCGTCCCAAAACCACATAATCCAAATGTGAAGAGGTACATAAAACCAAAGAAAATTCTGTTGAGGTAGAAATGATGCAGACCAAGAAATCCTAACGGGAAGGACAACGTATAGGCATCGTCAAGCCTCTTCTCTTCATCCCATATACTTGCAATAGGCTCAGCGTCGCGGATCTGCCTTATGTCGCTGTTTGCTTTCTTGACAAGGAACGGCATTCGAAACACGTCAACTACCCATCCAACTCCACATAATCCAAAGGTCAGGAAATAGGTTACTCCAAAAATAGGCCTGCGTAAGTAGAAGTGATGGTATCCTGTAAAAACGAAATGTTTCCGTTACTGTATTTATTTAAATGAAATACAATTGACCTAGCTACGCTTAGATGCTATTTTAAAGCTCCCGGATTTTGATTTTCAAAAAAGCAATATAGGCCTATTTAATTTGGATAATACATAATATTCTTTAATCAAAGATGAAAACGAAAACTTAATTTACAAATGTATGCAATGATAATTGCGTTAAAAACATAAACATTTTAGGTAACTTTTTGGTACAACTTTAGAGGGTCTATAGCGTTAACACAAAAGCTTATCCTAAAAAAATTATTGTCCTAACGCTAAGTTTCGGAAATACGGTTCTCGCAGTCTATGGAAGTTGTGTGGCCTACTGAAACATTACAAATTTTGAGTATTATTTGTTACTTTATATCATTGCACAACGGTTAAAGGAATTAGAAGAACAGGACGTTATAAAAAAAAGGTGCGTGAACATGCGGATCCATGGAATGCACCAATCCATCCAGACCAAACCAGATTTCTAGCTTCCAATATACATACACAGCACATACTGTACTTAATGAATGAAGCTTTCTGCTGATCCATACTATTTACTACGGTATGAGAACTTAAACACTGGTGTGCACGTGGGACATGCGCGCATTGTTATTCATTACATAACATGTTCTGGCCGTTCAGTGTTATTAAGTTTGACTGACACCCCGGAAAGGTCCATTGCACAAAGGTACAAACTACATACCAAATACTTGGGACACACACAAACACACACACACACCGCACACAGTATCCTACATACCAAGCATCCCAAAAGGAAACCACAAAATGTAGGCATCA